CTGTATCAGAAGTGAAGCAGCTGGAACACAAACCAAGTACCCATATGGGATTCCAGTGTCACAGGCGGCAGCCTTACTACACCACAATGCTGGCCCCCAGGAAGCACTTCTAATAAGTAGGAAAGCTTGGACTTCTCAATAAATGAATTGGGACATTCAAAAAAAAATTGGTTAGACCAATAATGCTACCTTGTTTGATTCTCAACTCTAACTTCACCAGTTAATGTTATATAGAAATTGCAGCATTTAACTGAAGTATGATAGATGCAGATAAATAGGGAATACAATACATAATTCTGTTGATATAGTCAGTTATGTTGTCTGTTGCTATCTCACAAAATGGAGTAAACTTTCAGACTCATGTGAATATAATTCCTGTGTGAGTCCCCTCAGGCTAATGCTATGTACCTTACTCAAAATAGTTCAGAATTCATTCACTCATTCATTTATTCATTCAACAAGTATTGTTCCTTGATCAAGGTACTTCTGGGTGCTGATTCATTCCCCAGATGTACAGAACAAAATATTTTCCTTATAGAGCTTACATTAATAAGAGATAACCAATAAATAAATGGGGCTAGGTATGATGGAAAAACTATTAAGCAGAGGAGAGGAAACAGGGATTTTCCAGAGTTACTTTATACCCAAGTAAGAAGAGCCCTGGGCCTCCCACATGACCCACTCTGGGGGCTAGAATTCCGAATACTAAAGGGACATGCCCACTTGCCTGTGGGGAGCAACTCGGACTAGACTAAGTTACTGGAATTAAGACTTATTCTATGCATCTGCTCTCCCACAATATGGCGCTGAGAGAAAGAGACCAAACAACCTCTATGCAGCTGCCTCATCAGTTTGACAAGCTGCAGGAGCTGATCCTGCTCCTGATTGGAGGAGAGCAGCGTGCTCAGCATGTGGGTAGCAGAGTTGGGATTGGTGGGAGAGGACTATAAAGGAGGAGAGAGACAACATGCACCAGGGAACATCTGAAGGAACACCTGTGGAACATCTGAGCAGCCCCTGAGAGAGCTGGCCGGTGGCATGCCGCTCCCCCGCGGAAGTGGGGAAAGTGGCAGGGGGAGCTGCCCCTCCACGGAGGTGGAGGGGTCGGCAGCCAACCCGGGAAGGACCAGCAGCAAACCCGGGAAGGGCCGAGCAGACGAAAGAACAGCGCAGGGTTTAGTGTCGTTCCTCCGCGAAGAGGGGGAGCGACACTTGCCCACTGTGTTCTTCCCATAATTGTGTTCTAAGCCACCCAGCACCATGGAATTGCCTGCATAAAGGCCAGACCTGGTTGGCTTCATCCTTCAGAAAATGAAATATGCCCCAGGTGTGTACACTTCTAGGCCCAGTGGAAGATCAAAGGTAGCTTAAAAAGATATGTCAAAAGGACTAGGATAGGCTGGCTGTGTGTATGTGTGTATAAAGCCCTACTGGGCCTTTAAAATATTTAGATAGGTGATATATGGGCCTCTTCATACCCTTGTCCAGTCCTGCTGAAGTCAAAGGCAAGTCTGGTCAGGGGAGTTAGAGTGGGTGGCTCCTGATTTATACAGGAAATTACTTTAAAGTAAATGAGTAGAGCTGATGCAATGGAAGGGCAATTCATCTAGGCAACAAAATAACAAGTAAGGAAATTAAATTCAAAGTAACAGGAATAAAAAGCAACTCGGCCCATGCAAATGAACCACATCCAGGTTTGTGTGCCTGAGAGCCTCATGAGAAATATTTGAGAATCTTCTTAGAAAACTCAATTATATGACTTGCTATCTATTTAGCCTTTTAAATGGAATGATAAACCCTCTCACCCCACATGCCACCCGTGCTTTAAGAGCAACTCCACAGAGGCCTGAAATGGAACGGCTGAGTGTGCAGTGAGGTCAGCAGCTATGTGCAGTGCTGGGAGAGAGGGCTTCATTACCATGAGCTATAACTGGGTGACAGAAATGCCAGCAAGCCAGGCCCGCAGCTAAAGAAGGGATTGGACTAATCTCAGACACACTCAGTAGACACTACATTAGCATTTCTGTCCTTTGTCAGAAGTACACAGCTCCTTATAAGACAAGTGAATCTCCAGCAAAACAGTTGTGCATATTCAATGCATATATTCCTCTAAAAGGCACACTCAGTTAATTATAATGTGTGATGTGTAAATAGTCATGTAAAAACTAGGCAAATATAAACTATACAAATGAAAAAGAATGAAAAATGATGCAAGTAAGGTGATAGTAGTGGTTGCCATTTCTTGTTGGGGTCATTTTTTCCTACATTTATGATTTTTTTCTGTCTCTTACTTGTTAGTTTCACAGTTGAAGAAACTTTCCTGAGTGAAATTTGTCAAATGAAAGCTCGATAGTCCCAAAAATAATAAAATTAATAAATAGTCTGGTAAGCAGCCTAAATTAGAGAGAAATATATTTAAATCAGTAGCTGTCATATATCAGCAATAATCCATTAGAATGATGAGTTAGAATATATATATATATATATTTGCAGTTAAGTGTATTCATGCTGGAGTAAATTTTTAAAAAGTGCAAAATTTGCATTTCTGATTATATAAAGTATTTGTCTGAATAAAGGAGTAACATGCCTTGTTTCTGCATGGAACACTCAATACTATAAAGATATCATTTCTCCCCCATGGTAATAAGCTATTAAAATACAATTTCAGGGACCAGTGCTGTGGCATAGTGGGTAAAGCCTCCACCTGCAGTGCCCATATGGGCACCAGTTTGAGATCTGGCTGCTCCACTTCCAATCTGGCTCTCTGCTGTGGCCTGGGAAAGCAGTGGAGGATGGCCCAAGTCCTTGGGCCCCTATATGTGCATGGGAGACACGAAAGAAGCTCCTGGCTTCGAATTGGATCATCTCTGGCTGTTGCGGCCATTTAGGGAGTGAACCAGCAGATGGAAGATTTTTCTCTCTCTGCCTCTGCCTCTCTCTGCCTTCCAAATGAATAAATAAATCTTCTAAAAAATACAATTTCAGTAAAAATTCCAATGAGACTTTGCTTTAGAACCTAACATGGGAATTCTAGATGAAGTAGATACAAAATTTGCTAAGGAAGAAGAACTGCTAAAAAATAATGAAGAAAGACTTGTCTTCACAGAAGTCCTAAGACTTCAGAAATTAAAATAGCTTTGGGCACACAAAAAAGAGCTAGGGACTGGCACAGTTGTGTAGCGGGTAAAGCCATTGCCTGAGTGCCAGAATCCCATACGGGCGCTGTTTCGAGTCCCAGCTGCTCCTCTTCTGATCCAGCTCTCTGCTATGGCCTGGGAAAGCAGTAGAAGATGGCCCAAGTTCTTGGGCCCCTGTGTCTGCGTGGGAGACCCAGAAGAAGCTCCTGGCTCCAGAGCAGCCCAGCTCCAGCCATTGCAGCCATTTGGGTAGTGAACCAGTGCTACTGTCTTTCTCTGCCTCTGCCTCTCAAATAAATAAAAATAGTTTTTTTCTTTAAAAAGCTAAAGAGCCGGCGCTGCGGCTCACTAGGCTAATCCTCCGCTTTGCAGCGCCGGCACACAGGGTTCTAGTCCCGGTTGGGGCGCCGGATTCTGTCCCAGTTGCCCCTCTTCCAGGCCAGCTCTCTGCTGTGGCCCGGGAGTGCAGTGGAGGATGGCCCAGGTGCTTGGGCCCTGCACCCCATGGGAGACCAGGAAAAGCACCTGGCTCCTGGCTCCTGCCATCGGATCAGCGCGGTGCGCCGGCCACAGCGCGCTGGCCGCAGCAGCCATTGGAGGGTAAACCAACGGCAAAGGAAGACCTTTCTCTCTGTCTCTCTCTCTCTCACTGTCCACTCTGACTGTCAAAAAAATAAAAATAAATAAATAAATAAAAAGCTAAAGAGACATCTGTGTATGTGGGATTGACTATAATTAGGAGGATTTTCAAATCCAGGAGTAACAATGGCTTGTTCAACAAATGGTGCTAAGAATGGTATTTGCAGTGACAGAGAACTTTTCTTCAAATCATAAGTAAAATACATGTTTGCATACAGATTAGAAATCAGCTGGACTAATGAATGACAGATCAATGCAAGTAGCAGATGGAAAAACCAGTAATATATATTTTATAATCTTGGGCAAGAAAGTCTTTCCTAAATAAGAAGTAAAAGTCAGAAGTAGTGAAAGAAAGTTGACATACTTGACTATATCAAAGTGGAGCACTTCTGTGAAACAAATTAGAAAATAAAAAATAGGCTTGGAAGGAAATATCTGTAGTATATATACAGACAAAAGACTAAGACAGAAAAAGATAAGCAGCCACATGGCTAACTGTGGGAGAAAGGACAGAGACAGACTTAAGTATTTCTTCTTCTATGGATTGTCTAACAAATAGATTAAAAGCTATGCATCCTCACACAGTCATCAACACATGCAAATTAAAACATCACCAAGAACCACTTTTCATTTACTGGATTTGCTAGTATTGAAGAGATTGGTAGTATTCAGTAGTTGCAAAATGGTAGGGAAAAGATGAATTTTTATATGTGGTGGTGGCAGTGTATAATTTGGTGCATTTTGAAGGCAATTTGAGAAAAGCTTTGGAAATAACCCAGCAGTTCCACACCTATTAGTCTATTCTACAGAGTGACTTACATGCATGGATATGTGCACAAAGCATCATCTGTAAAACTGACAAAAAGAGTCAGCTTGAAGTCCACCTATTTATGAGAGAATAAATGAGTTATGGTTTTACCATGCTATGGAATGCAATGCAGGGATTGTCAACAAGAAAGGAATGAGATGAAGTAGATTGTGGTAGTTTGTACTTGCTATAGAAGAATCTCATGACATCTCACTGAGTTGGAAAACTGTTACATGATTACATGCAGAAAGTAACCCGATTTTACTTTATTTTTAAGAATCCTATGTTAAGGAAGGGTGGACTTTGACTTTTTATTTCATAAGCTTGTATATTGCTCCAAATTTTATTACTCTCATATTTTAAAGATTTCATTTTTAGCTGAAGCATACAAAAACTAAGTAGAATTTCTATTTCAGGCTACTTCAGCTTTCCTGACCTTACAAAGGTCCAAGCACCCATCACCTCTACTCTGTCTACAAAAGTCCTGGAGCACTTTTAGAAAATAACAATACCGGGGGCTGGAGCTGTGGCACAGGTTAATCCTCCACCTGCAGTGCCGGCATCCCATATGGGCACTGGTTCGAGTCCCTGCTGCTCCTCTTCCAATCCAGCTCTCTGCTATGGCCTGGGAAAGTAGTAGTAGAAGATGGCCCAAGTGCTTGGACCCCTCCACCTGCATGAGAGACCAGGAAGAAGCTCCTGGCTCCTGACTTCAGACTGGTGCAGCTCCCGCTGTTGTGGTCATTTGGGGAGTGAACCAACAGAAGGAAGTCCTTTCTCTCTGTCCCTCCCTCTCACTGTCTGTAACTCTACCTCTCAAATAAATAAAATCTTTTAAAAAAAAAGGAAGATGAAAATAGCAATACCCGGGCTCCATCTCCAAACAACTGAGCTAGAATCACAGGGATCTCTTGGGCCAGTGCTAAGGCACAGCAGGTTAAAGCCACAGCCTGCAGAGCCAGCGTCCCAAACAGGTGCTGGTTCTAGTCCCAGCTGCTCCACTTCTACGCCAGCTCCTTATTAATGCAGCTGGGAAAATGAAAGATGGCCCAAGTACTTGAACCTCTGCACCCATGTGGGAAACCTGGAAGAAGCTCCTGGCTTTGGCCTGGCCCAGCCCTGGTCATTGCAGCAATTTGGGGAGTGAACTAGCGGATGGAAGATCTCTCTTTCTAACTCTGCCTTTCAAATAAATAAATACTTTTAAAAAATCTTAAAGATCTCAAAGGGTGGTCTGCAGCCTCAACTGTTTTGGGGAATGTGTTAGAAATGCAGTATCCAGGCCCAACCTAGACCCACTGCATCAGTATCTGCATTTACATGCAGAAGTTTCCCCTTATCTGTGGCTTCATTTTCTTTGGCTTCAGTTACCTATAGTCAATTGTAGTTTGAAAATACTCAATGGAAAATTCCAGAAATATGCAATTCATAAGTTTTAAACGGCAAACTGTTCTGAGTAACATAATGAAATTTCCCACTGTCCCACTCCACCCTGCCCGAGACACCTTTCATCCAGTGTATCCAAGCTATATCTGCTACAAGCCCATTAGTCACTCAGTAGCTGTCTAGGTTATCAGATCTACTGTTGTGATATCACAGTGCTTGAGTTCAAGGAAGCCCTATTTTAATAACAGCTCCAAAGCAAAAGCCTTGTGATGCCAAGGAGTAGCACCAGGGCATAAAGCTGGAAGGACAGATTAATTCTGGTACTATGTGGCAACACTGCAGGATATATAAGAAAAAACACACTATATATAATATTCAGTACAATCTGGGATTTCAGGCATCAGTTGGAGATCTTGGAAAGTATCCCCCTTGAATAAGAGAAGACTAGTGTAATATCCTTCAGGGTATTTGTTTGCACATTAAAGTTTGAGAAGCACTAACTACTCATTTATTGTATATTTGACCTAGAGTGAGTTACTTAACCTCTGTAAATGCCAAATTCCATATCTGTAAAATGGAGAAAAGTAGTATCTGAGAGCAAAATAAGCTTGTGTGTGTAAAGAGCCCAGAGCCCTGCCTGGCACACAGTAGGTACTTGATCAATAGGTTTTGTGATGGGGCACCTGAATTTTGCACCTATAAAAGTGAAGCCTTGGCCAGCGCCGTGGATCACTTGGCTAATCTCCACCTGCAGTGCCAGCACCCCGGGTTCTAGTCCCGGTTGGGGCGCTGGATTCTGTCCCGGTTGCCCCTCTTCCAGGCCAACTCTCTGCTGTGGCCCGGGAGTGCAGTGGAGGATGGCCCAGGTCCTTGGGCCCTGCACCCACATGGGAGACCAGGAGGAAGCGCCTGGCTCCTGGCTTCGGATCGGCACAGTGCCGGCCGTAGCAGCCATTTAGGGGGTGAACCAATGGAAGGAAGACCTTTCTCTCTGTCTCTCTCTCACTGTCTAACTCTGCCTGTCAAAATAATAATAATAAGTGGAGCCTTGTTGATTGGTGTTTATTGATTTCCACTTACCAACTCACTAGGATGTATGGCCAGTGATCAGTATACACAGAAGACTCACATGATGGGGCTGCTCTCCAGTACAACCAATGTGCTGCTGCTCCCACAAATCCAACTCTGTTTTCCAAGAGTCAGCACAGGATGTGCTTCTGATTGTTTATACCAGTAGTACTTGTTACTGAATTATGTAGTAAATAGTTATAAACCAATGAAATATGAATATATAGAGGGTTGTTTCTGTCAAACAGTAAACTGAATGTTTTTGAAAGAACTGATAAATTCGGGGCGCCGGATTCTGTCCCGGTTGCCCCTCTTCCAGGCCAGCTCTCTGCTATGGCCAGGGAGTGCAGTGGAGGATGGCCCAGGTGCTTGGGCCCTGCACCCCATGGGAGACCAGGAAAAGCACCTGGCTCCTGGCTCCTGCCATCGGATCAGCGCGGTGCGCCGGCTGCAGCGGCGGCCATTGGAGGGTGAACCAACGGCAAAGGAAGACCTTTCTCTCTGTCTCTCTCTCTCACTGTCCACTCTGCCTGTCAGAAATAAGGAAAAAAAGAAAGAACTGATAAATTAATTTTCTTAAAATGGGTGGGTGAGACAAATATAAAAGGCAAGAGCAAAGAAATCATACACATTTATAACTATATTCAAGTTGCCTTGTCAGTTTATTAAAGTCTTCAACTCAATGTAAGGAAACCAGTATTGGAACTCACAATTAGTATTTTGTAGGTAAGTTTAAGATAGATTCATTCACCTGGGTTCACACACAGTCTTGGCTCTGTATCAAAAGATAGGGGAAGACTGTGTGTGTGTGTGTGTGTGTGTGTGTATTTGCTTTAATTCAAAATAAAGTGGTTCTACTATAAATAGGCATCTCTTTTAGACATTTCCCATGTGATCTGATTATTCAAAGTTTCAATTTCAATAGGAAGAAAAAGAAATTTTTTGTCTCCTGCCTGACCCTCCTCCTCCACACGGTCCTTGTTAGAAATAAAGTCTCTTGTAGCTCTTCCAGTTGTTCTTAGGGGTTAAATGTCATGAGGTCATTTTACCTTATGAAAAGTCTTATTTTGATGATTAAGATGTTCAGCTTAATGTAATAATCAAACCTCAAAACTTATCCCCTCCGAGAGGTAAGTTCCGATTCCAGCCAAGAAGTTCATGCTGTGAACCTGGAAGTGTGAAAGCATGGTTGATGTCTTTCAACTTCCCTTGCCCCTTCCCACTCTCACTGGCTCTCCAACCCCTCTGGAATTGGGCTCCGGGTGAGAGTGTTAGGCAACAGGCTCAGTCTTCCACAGATGGAACCATCAACAATCAACTTCTAATTGGAGGACCCTCTAGAAGGTCCTTTTGGGATGGGAAACCTGCTAAATAAGGCTGTGGACCAATCCCCTCACGTGGGTTCACAGAACAAACCTACTTCCTTATCCCTTAGCTGGTAAAAGTACTTCCTCTCAGTGCCTCCCTTTCCCCCTTTCCTCATAGGTAATAGCAGCTCCAGCCACCATAGTTGGCTTCTTGGAGAGTCAGACACCCAGGGTTCCCAAGTATAATTGTGTGGTTGTAACCACTGTTTATGTAATGGGACCTCCTAAAGTTGTGCAGTGTACAACCTCAACAGCCATCCTCAGAGATCAGACACTGGACCATTGTATTCCAGGAGACTCAAATCAAGCTCCTCAAGAGACTCCCTCAAAGCCTTTCAGGGTATTTGTTTGCACATTAAAGTTTGAGAAGCACTAACTACTCATTTATTGTATATTTGACCTAGAGTGAGTTACTTGGGTTAAGAGGAAATGCACACTTCTCTTACAAAAGGAAAAGAGGAAAATTCATGATCCTCCAAGGATTTTCACGTAGGAATTCTCTCATGGGCTGTTTAGAATTCTTGGCCTCTTGACTCAGTCTTAAATATTTTCTAAGGGAACACAAAAACAGATGTGGCCACCTAATTTGCTTAAGGTATTTTGGGTTATATTTTTTGTTCTTACACCTCCCTAAGCTGCTCCACTTCTGATTCAGCTCCCTGCTAATGCGCCTGGGTAAGCAGCAAAAAGATGGTGGGCTGTACCACACGGGAGACCCGGAAGAAACTCCTGGCTCCTGGCTTTGAATTCGTCCAGCTCTGGCTGGCAGCCATTTGGGAAGTTAACCAGCAGATGGAAGATCTCTCTCTCTCTCTCTCTCTCTCTCTCTCTCTCTCTCTGCCTTTGCCTCTGCCTTTCTGTAATTCTGCCTTTCAAATAAATAAATACATTTGTAAAAAAAAAAAGAATATGCTTATAACACATGTTCTATTATGTATAAAATGTGAACATTAAAAGAAGTAATGATAAAGACTCTTGCCCCAGGTGGTGCTACAGTTAAAATGCCACAGTAGTTAAGATATTGCTTGGAAATCATAAGAGAGTACCTGGGCTTGAATTCTAACTCCACTTCTGATAACAGCTTACTACTAATGCACATTGTGGGTGACAGCAGATGACTGCTTAAGTAGTTGGGTCCTTGCCACCATATGGGAAACCCAGATTAAGCCAGGTCTCTGGCTTCAGCTAGGCATCTGGAGAGTGAACCAGCAAACTGAAGTTACCTCTCTCTCCCTCTCTCCTTCTCTCTGCCTTTCAAATAAAATGGAAATAATTTTTAAATAAAACTTTAAAAATTCTTTAAAAAAGAAAATAAAGCTTTGCCCCATTAATTATCTCCTTAGTTTCCTTATCATTTCCTGTTGTTTATGATTACTACATATTTTTATGATCATTGATTCTATGTTAACATTGATGTTTCTCTTTTTTAAATTTTTAAAATTTTTTTTTATTTGACAGGTAGAGTTATAGACAGTGAGAGAGGGAGACAGAGAGAAAGGTCTTCCTTCCGTTGGTTCACTCCCCAAATGGCTGCTACGGCCGGCGCTGCACCAATCTAAAGTCAGGAGCCAGGTGCTTCTTCCTGGTCTCCCATGCAGGTGCAGGGGCCCAAGAACTTGGGCCATCCTCCACTGCGCCCCTGGGCCACAGCAGAGAGCTGGACTGGAAGAGGAGCAGCCAGGACTAGAACCCGGCGCCCACATGGGACGCCAGCGCTGCAGGTGGAGGATTACCAAGTGAGCCACGATGCCAGCCCCTGGTGTTTCTCTTTTAAAGTGATGAACATTTTCTTCGACCACTATTGGAGATTTAATTAAGTCTGCTTATTCCTGAATATTTCCCTAAATTTAGTGATCAGTGCATTGGTACTCTATAAAACACTTTGCAGGGGCTGGTGCTGTGGCACAGTGGGTTAAAGCCCCCTCTCTGAGATGCCAGCATCCCATATGGGCACTGGTTCAAGCCCTGGCTGCACCACTTCCAATCCAGCTCCCTGCTGATGTTCCTGGAAAGGCAGTGGAGGATGGCACAAGTCCTTGGGCCCCTGCACCCATGTGGGAGGCCCAGAGGGAGCTCCTGGCTCCTGATTGGCCCACCTCTGGCTGTTGCAAACATTTGGGGAGTGAATGAGCAGATGGAAGATCTCTGTCTTTCCTTCTCTCTGTAACTCTGCCTTTCAAATAAATAAAGTCTTAAAAAAATAAACACTGGAGCTAGTACTGTGGCATAGCAGGTAAAGTCACCACTGTAGTGCCGGCATCCCATATGGGCACCAGTTTGAGTCCTGGCTGTTCTACTTCCCATCCAGCTCTCTAATATGGTCTGGGAAAAGCAGTAGAAGATATCACAAGTCCTTGGGCCCCTGCACTCACATGGAGACCAGGAAGAAGCTCCTAGCTTCAGATCAGCGCAGATCCGGCCGTTGCAGCCAATTGGGGAGTGAACCCGCAGATGGAAAACCTCTCTCTCTGCCTCCCCTCTCTGTATAACTCTGACTTTCAAATAAATAAATAAATCTTTTCTAAAAAAAGGAGAAAAATTTTGCTTATGACTACTTCTTCAGGAATAATCAAGATTAAATAATGAGAGAAATCCATAAGAATTCCTATCTGCATTTTCCAAGGTTATTCTATAAGTCATTCATGCCACAGAATAGGATTCATATATGTATCTTCCTCTTAGAGACCAACAATGTACAAGTCTGAGAAGTCTTTCACTAAAAAAAAATTAAAAATCTATCTTTACTTCTAAGCTGAATTTTTTAAGGTAACCCAATTTTTTT